CTTCAGAATGTCAGCTTTAGTAAACTCTCAACACAGAGCAAGGAAGCCTGCAAGCTTTTGTGCATCCAAGACACATCCTCTTAGTTCTCTACAAAAGCACCAGGAGGAGAAGTGGTTTAGAATACCAAGTGGTCTGCAAGCAAACATATCACCAGGAGGTCCTCAGACAAAACTTAAATAAAATCATAACATAGCTGGACATGCAAGCTGCAGGAAAATATGATCAGGTTGGTTCTTGGCTACCACATCATCCAGGAAACTGAGTGTCAGGAATTTCACTGCGTCTAGTAGGGCTGAACTCTTAAACCAGCCCTTGGGATCAGAATGGAGCACAGCAGATGTAAGACTAGTACTACACTGCAGATAATAATCTATCTACCATAGGGATGAAACGAGTTAAAACAGGAAAGTTGAGGTTCAATGTGATTGTACAGGATTTGTCGGGTTCACCTGTAGCTATATTGGGGCTGGATTATCAGCTGTACTGATTGACAGTACTCACTGAAGATAAAAACCTCTGCAGCAGCGGAATACATGGTTTTGCTGAATACTAGTTGACACATCACTTGCACCTCCCTTGTATTTAGTGTTGTGGTGACTACGTTTGTCTGGTCACCCAGGGCCAGCAGCACGCAGACCCTGCCGTACTGACCCACACTAGGTCTTTGCAGAGAGGCACCTATTTCTTTAAGACTGAAGTTTTCCTTCTGATAAATCACCTAATTCCCAACAGTCAATTATAATTGACTATTAAAATGCATTTGTACAGACGACCATGCTGTATCACAGGAAAGCATGGGCAGCTAAGAAAAAGAAAAAGCTTCTGCCAGTCTAGTTAAAGAAATAACTACACGCACCTCTGCGAGCAAGCTGGCTTTTACTCACAGTACTAGCAAGAAAAATGAGTTTATCTGCTTTACTGGTGAAGTGTATTTTTTCACGTTTCATCTATAGAATCATCTCATTGACTTTTTCTTGCCCTATAAAGGCCAAACACGAATGATGTGGTGGATATAGTACCAGAGGCACTTCTTCAAGTCAGTCAGATTAGAGTTAAATCCCTCTTGATTTTGGGAAGGAATTTGATAGAGAATGTGCACCTTAGAGAAAAGGCAGGGCGATTTCTAGCAGCCAGTTTTGATGTAGCAATCTGAGTTTCTTGCCACACCAGTTTTCCTAACATCAGTAGTAAGACTGAAAGAGAAACTAGGGGAGAAAAACCATAAACTCGTGCATCTCTGATTCACGTACTCCAATTGCTATGGTAGGGAAGCCTTCTTCCCCCTCTTCACAGTTTAAAAAAGAGATAATGGGACAAACACTGTATTATTTTTAAGAGACGATGTCAAGATGAAAAAATGAAAACGTCAAAAAAGAGGCTGATATACAGCATTACTTAAGGACTGTTTTGTTGAGAAAAACTGACCAAATGATTTACGAAAGGCTTTTAACAGGGCAGTCTTTGGATTACAGTGAGGATGAAAAATAAATGAAAATCTATTTCAAGTTTACTTTAGCCTAGTCATTTGACAGATGAGGGCAAAACCTGGCAAGAACACAAGTTTTAATCTTCAGATGTAGTGACTTTATTTGCAGTTTTGTGGATTAGAAGTTTTCTCTGTGCAAAATAAGAGCTATCCATTTTCAGACGTTTCCTGTTGAAACTACTTTCTCTACCTGAAGCTCCCATGAGAGGCACATGAAGAAAAAGACCAAAGCATCAACATTTCTGCTCCTGGCACAAATCCCCACATACAGAGACTGTCTCAATTGTGTTGCAGCCGGTGTGCCCACCACCTTCTTCCCTTCCCATTTCTTCTTTCCCTCTTGAAACACTTCCCTCCTAATTAATTACTGGATTAACCAGCCTAGTATCAAGACTGCTCATGGCTGGAGGTGGATCTTGGAGCATGGACTTGTTCTCAGTATGCCCAGCCTGGCACATTTCTGCCTGGCCAGATGGGTCCCCCATCTGCTCCTCTTTGAAGGAGAACTTCCTGGAATTTGGGTTTTCCTCTTAACCTTTGTTTGTATGATTCCTTTGCTTCCTATTTTTGCTCAGGTTTTGTTTTGAGGGTTGGGTTGCTTTTTTTCCCTTTTCACAAAAGTCACCTCTAAACACATCAGAGGCAGATTTAAAAACCAAAGGGGTAAACTCTGCACAATTTTAGAGCACACGTGGCATTAAATTGGCACCACACTTCACAAAGGCTACTACTAAACAAGAGCTGGGTCAGTACAGCAAAGGGCTACTTTTGGGTAGAGTAATACAGCGGAAACTAATTCTAGTGTACAGGCTACAGAGAGCCTAGAAACATCAAACCAAACTGCCAGGAGTCAAAGGTAGTTTTCTAATGTTTACTGAAGCTATTAGGATGTGCCATAATATTTTTTCAGTATAGAATTTACAGATCGAGAGAAGCAGTTGATCTTTTTGAGACTAGTGCAAAAAAAAAAAATCAAGATGGAAAATGGAGAGTTGATAGCTAATTCCAGGAAAATCTGCCACAGTTCTATATTTATTATAAGCCTATCACAGCACATCCTGCTCAAAGACTTACAGAAAATGTGTCGCTAACTACCAGGGAATTATTGATTTTTTAATTTTTTTCCACTCATAGTGCTATTGCTTGGCTGTAGGAGAACTGATAACTTGGAAAGGGGGGAAAAGTAGAAAAAAAAAATCAATATTAGTATTATCAACTGTTGACTACAGTTTACAGCAGCAATAATCTCTTTTAAAACAGCTTGGAGAAGTACCAGTTGTCATCTACATAAGGGATTACTTTTTGGTCATATCTTTAAATGATGATGGTATTTTGGTGTTGTGATGATTTTGTTCTGGTTAAATTAAGTTTTGTCTAAACTTCAGTAACTAACCTCAGTATCGTCTAAACTTCAGATGTGAACCACATTTAGCAGAGAACGGCACTGTTTACTGTTGCCATTACCTTTTCGTTGCTAATAAGAGCGATTCGGTCCCCTCGTTAAGAGCAACTGATTTTTAACAGCCCATTCCATTTTGTACATCATATTTTAGCTCAGTATTTAGATGTACCCTCCGTCACAAAGGTCTGCACTTCTTCCAGTAGTGCCTTAAGGTACATGGTATCATTTGTCACTGTTTTTCCTCCACACACATTCTTTCTGGAGAGGCAATTCCTGCAGGGTGTTGAGAGAAAGCATTAGTGTTCTGAGCCTTTTTCAAATGCTGGACTGGAAAAGCATAGTTTTGAGATGCCTCCTGGTTCCTACTCCAGCTTTGGATAGTCTGTAGAGCTACATCTCCAGACGCATCTCTGCTCACACAGAGCAAAGCTTCACTGCGCCAGAACAGAAATGTCACTCACTAATCACTTTAGCATTTTAGTTGGGTGAATGAGTAGGATTGCGTTGCACTTTACCTGATTTCCTCCATTTTCTGCACACTAGATTATTTGCAGACCAGATTTAGCACTCAAACTAGATTAATTTCAGAGAAAACTCCCAGCACATTCTGTATGAGCCGTACACAAAATACAAGTAGCGCCCAGCAAAGGCACAGGAATCCAAACCAGCATCTGACCTTCAAGACAACTTTGAGCAACAGGAATCAGGACATTTTAAGAGGAGAGATGAGATCTACTCTGAAATAGAAGCCTCAGCGATCTACAATATAAACATAGGGGCATCAAAGTTAGCTTCTCTGATTCACTGATTGACTGCTCATATGTCTAATTACTGGCAAACACAGACATAACCATCCAGAGCTTTAGGCTTTCTTCTATGTGCCTTGGAGAAAGTGCCTGCCCAGTTAATTTGATTCACATGTCTACGGCATCTCAGAGATACTGGCAGGTTTTAACTTCTTTTGAAAGCTCCTTCTGAAGGCCACAGACATGCAGGCCGTGGGTGCTGAATGCATAAAGAAAAGAGTTACTGGTCTTCTCAAATGCACTGGATGTTTTCGTAAATGTGAATTTATAGCTGAATGTGTCTACATATATATGTCATAGCTTCAATATATGTTACTAAATTACTTGGTTATGAAGAGGATTAGCTCTGTGGATTAGTGGACTGAAATCATAAGAGGTAGTTTTTAATGCTAACATGATATTCAAAACCTTCAATGAGGAAACAGAAGCCAGTTTGCAAGTTTTCTTTGTAACAGAACATAATATTAATTGCTTTGTTGACACCGTAAACTACCATTAAATACTTTAAAACATGTACATAGTAATAAATAGTAAACTTTACATCCTAGAACATGCTGTATTTACCTTTTCTCCAAATACTGGAAGAGATGCTGATCAGAGAAGCTAGTCACTTGCTGGAGATCTCACAAGTGGAACTAGATGTAGAAGGAGCTGTCATTCTTGCCCTCCCCTTGCTCACATCAGAAGACTGCCCAAACAGCCAATCTAACTGCTTTCCTTATGTTATTTTTACTCTTCCATTTTTTGTGATGTTGACTTAAAGCCTGTAATTTGTTACACCTGAAATTGCACCTGTTAAAGTTAAGGGTCTAAGAAACATGCCAAGGTCCACCAACATAGAAGCTATCACTCGTACAGAAAATATTTCAAAATCTCCCAAGTTGACATTAAAATACATTCTAGGTGCGCAGTTTTTCCAGGTAGATGGGTCAGACAAATGCCACTCGTGTTTGTGGAGCTATGGGTTAACAAAAAGTTGTACTGTAGCATTTTTTTTTGTTATCTACAAGCTAAAGGCAATATAGCATATTACCACAGAAATCTTTTTCTAGAACAATACACAAAGCCCTAATGAAACTGCGTTTATGATATCACCTCAATAAAAGTTTTAATAATGCTTGTTCATATATCACAGCTGTCAAGAGAGAGAAAATGATAGTTAATGTTACATTTGAGACATACAGTGTTGAGCTGTATAGAATAAGTGTATGCGGTATGTGTCTTAGTCACCGTTTGATTATTGGTAGCTTTTAATGATTCAAGAAATAGAAATCTAAACTTCTCCATCTCTCTTCTCTTTTAAAGGAGCATTATTCTGAACCCAGCTTATTTCCGGAATCACCTGCGCCAAGCTGCTGTGTTTAGGTGCTTGGAGAGATACTCTGAAGCTGCAAGGTACTTTGGTGGATTTCTCTACATCCCTTTGGTTCCAGCTCTCAGTAGTAAGGATATCATCTTATATCCAGGCTTTTCCAAAGTCAGTGGGAGCTTTGCATTGGCTTTGTGTCTATGATCTCACATGCAGCAGAGCTCCAATCCTCCCAGTTGGCGTAACATGAATCATCCCAATTATGTCTCTAGCTGCAGTTAGGCTAACACATGTAGGAACATTTACTCCTTCTCAGGCACAGGAGTGAGCCCTGATTGGGTCCCAGGGCTATGGTGGGGCAAGAGCTACATGCACATGGGCATCTGCCAATCCCTGATTTCCCTGTAACCCTGGAAAGTAGTTCACGTGTGCTCCAAGTGGATGGGGAGAAAAAAGAAAAAGAAGAAAATTAATCAAGATCTCAGGGTACATACACTGTGATATGCTGCAAAAATATAGCCTGCCTGCAGCTGATGAGATTGCTGGTGTGAACGGGAACTGCTGGCAGGAGAAAAGCCTGCAAGAGGAAGCTCTGCTTGTATGCTTGCACTAACTCTGCCAAAAACTAAAAGTTTCAACATGCTTAAAGGAAAGAAACAGATGAGGAAATGCAACGGTGACTTTGTGTGTATCATATGTATCACCATTACCACTAACATTAGACACTTGCAGAGGACTGTTTGGCTAAAGACCGCAAGGTACATCACAAAATATTTCACAAGTCATTAGCTAACTAATGGCAGGGCAGCCAGTGTGAATTAGGCAGGAGACTGAAAGGGTCACTTTGCGCATCATTTAAGATGGATGCTACTGAAGCTACTGAAATAGCAGCAAAACAGTTTGTACAGGGAGCAGAGGAAGACTTTACCCAAGTGAAGCTGCAGAGAGGATCTAGGAAGAAGAACTTCCATCTTACATGCTGGACTTCAGCCAGAAACTCCAGGACAAGCACTTTTCCTTCTGCAGGACACACAGTGAGATTATGTCAGAGTAACCTCTTCTAGCTTCCACACATCAGGACGGGGAGAAGAAATCAGTTCCGCAAGGCAAGGAAACAGATTTTCCAAATATTTGTGAAATATGGTTTCAGATAAACTTGGAATATTTCACACTTGACTGAAAACCCACCCACCCCTTTTTTTGTTTGGTTGGGTTTTAAAACACAGCTCACTTTTCAAACAAAACTCTTTCAAATTAAGCAAGTGAAACATTTTGTTGAAAAACAAGAGTGTTATGATAGTTCCTAGATGTCCTTTTGTATCTCACTGATAATTGTCTCGTCCTAAAATCTTCTCGGGGTGTCGATTCAGAGAGAACTAGTCATCTACTGAATCATTGAGAGCTTGGGTCTACTGGTCAGTCAGATGTTTTAGAGCTATGTTAGGAGAGTATGTTGCTTTGTGACAGGTGGGGAATCCCATCCAGGATATTTTCACACCCAGGAATTCACTAATATCCTAGGAGGTGAAGAGATGCAGGACGAATTGTTTGGGGTCTTGCGAGGGAGAAGAATAGGGCTTTCCCCCTGAAGTCAGGTTGAAGATTTTTTTTAAAATAATAACAAAAGTTTAAAGAATACACTTGCAGAAGCTATCTTTAAGAAGCAATACATATAAATGCTCATATTTGAGAAGACAGTATGAACCAAAGTGTTCATAAATATGAATCCAAAAACAAAAAAAAAAGTGGTTGGTGTTACTGCAGATAAGCAATCAGTAAGTTTACTACATCAGCAGGCAAGAGGGAACTGTGTCAGCCTTTTTTCCCCACATTGAGTAGCTTTCAGGAAACTAGATGATTTTCAATGAGATTATGTATTTTGCAAAGGAGAGGAACATTCCGACAGACTGAATCCAGAGTGGTTCCAAAAGCAGTGACTATAGCAGTATTCAGAGTTTAGCCTAGTTTAACATAGTGTTACAGCAACTGTGCGGAGCTGCTTCTGCAGATTGTGTTAAACTAAGCTTAGCACTGTTTCTGTCACTTTGCCGGAGTCACTGGTCTTAGTGGAACCCCACTACCGGTGCAGAATGTACTCTATTCATTACAGACAGACCATGTCACACACAGATTCAGCTGCAGCTTCTGGGAATACAAACTTGGTTTTTGTTAGGGTAAGCTGCAATTTAGTTCTGCTTGCTTCTTGCATGAGAATATGGTCACTCTATTACCTTTTCTGCTTTTAAGTATCCTGTGCCTTCGCACCCCTCTCATGGGATTTTTAAGTTATTGAAGTCCATTAAATACACTTGGAACAGCACGTGGGTATGCAAACAGGAGTGGCTGGTTGCTTGGCACAAGCAGTGTGGGTAATCACATTTAATTCAGCCTACCTATCAAGCTGATAACCCCTGAGATTTTGTCTCTGAGGATACCAAATTTTTTGGTTCAGAGAGAGTTATAGGTTAGAGCAGGGTCAGCTGCAATTTAAGCATCTTTCTAGTCCCTCTGTGTGTGATTTTCAGTAGCACAGCCCGGTATCAGGAGACTGAAGCACAGGAATGCAAGGATATCTGAACTAACGTAAGGCATCTGATTTGCCTGTATCTGCATCACTTCTGAGTTTTGTCAGCTGCATTGTGAGTCCTTGGGGACAGCGCTGTGAGAGGATGCCACCACGCAGAGTGCAGCCTAAGGCCATCTGGCATTGTAAAGCAATCCTAGAACCACCACTGTGGGGTCACAGCATCTGCAAATGATGAATTCCAAAGTGCTGCGATCACTTTCACTAAGATGTCAGCTAGTAAATATATTTCTCCTCTATTGGTATCTGAGCTGTTAAGAGACTGCTCTTGACAAACACAGTAAAGATTTAAACCTCAGAAGGAAGAAAACCTATTTCAGTTGGAAGACCATCTCGGACCTTGAACGAATGGGCCTAAATGCATTCTGTATAAATTTAGTCTGGAAGGTACCAGGACATTTTAGGCATTAGAAAGCATTTAGGCTTCGGATCAGCCTCCAATAGCAGCTACTGGAAGTCTCTTGCCAAAGGACACACGGTTACAATTGATCAAAAGATCACTTAATAAGCAGAAAGGAAAGTCCAGGAAAGGGTCCTGGGCTCACTTCTGACCCAAAACTGAGAAAATGCTCTCAGACAAGGCCAAGGAGAACTCAGCCTTCCTGACTGCTACCTTAGGATAAGAGACACGTATGTGCAAGGGGATGAGCAAGCTGCAGAAGAACCTTGGAACCACAGAAGCACCTACTGTCTCTGAGGACTGAGTACACAAACCACCAGCCCTGCTTTCAGGGACAAGAGTGCTAGAAAGGGAACATACACCTGGGGGTGAGCCTCAAAGCTCTTGAAGGAGGAGTTCTCAGAGCCTATGTGTCCTTCAAGTCACTAAGCCCAAGGGCTGTGACCCCACAGCTGCCTCTCACACACCCACAGAAGGCCTAGCCAGATGAGCAATAAGGCATGAAAACAGGGGGTTTTCTCTACTCAAATAGCACAGGCTATTACTGGCACTGAATAGCCCTGACTCGGTACTAAGGTGAAAAATTGTAACTTACAGAAAATTATTGCTACCTATTTAAATTGGAATTTTAAGTACAAAAGGGATTAATTGTAAATAGGTAGCAATAATTTTCTGTAAGTTAAATTGGAATTTTAAGTACAAAAGGGATTTTGCCTGTTTCTCATTAAGCTGTATAGCTCTCATCTTTCTGCTAATCAAAATGCTGTGCTGATTTAACAGTGTCACTGTGTTCTGTGAAAAGCTTAAGATAGCTCTTTTATCACCAGTTAGAACACTAGTGGCTTGAAATTAGTCGTATACACGTAGGGGAAAACAGACTGTCTGTCCCTCTGCCAGAACAAACAACGCACATTCATCTGGCTGCATTGAGTAGGAGTAAGCAATCCTTAAGGAGAAAGAAGTTTTAGGATCTTAATAGCTGTGATATGGCTGACTCAGCTTTTTGACATTCCTCTTAAAAAAACCAAAATAATCTAGACAATCCCATCAGCTGAAAAACAAACTAGATCTGCAAGCAGCAAACCTCAGCGCCCTGTGAGAGTTTAGGTCTGTGTCTCCTTTAGGTCAGACTTGAAAACGCAGCACAAGAAAGCTAGGTGATTAATTTGGGTTAGTTTGTGCCTCTGGTTTTGGTTTACAAAATGTAGAGTCGTACTCAGGAAAGATATATAAATAATTGGGGTTTGTGGTGCAAGTTCCAGAAGCTCACTGCCTCCCGCGCCCACCTGCATCCGCAGCGCCTGCCTTTGCACCTTGCCTGGGGCAGGGGGGCTTCTGTTGGAAAAACACAGGGAAGTTTATATCCTTTCTCCATCCTACTTGTTCCAGTTTTCCTAAACTGAGACAAATTTAAAAAAAAAAAAAAATCCAATTTTATGAAAAGAAAAAAAAAAAAAAGCCTATTTTCATAGCTATGGACCCCCACCCCATTAAGACCAACTGCCCCCCCTCCGGCGCCCTCAAGTTCACCAGCAGGGAGGGGGCTCTGGCAGCTGGGGAGGATTTTCTCTGGCAAGCATTAGAATCAGTCAAAGCTCAAAGAAAAGTCCACACTGCCTATTACCCGATTTGACACCGACATACGATTTCAGTCTGTGTCTAAAATCACCGGCTGTGGTTTCTGCACCGCGCACATTATTCTTTAGCACTCAGGATTGTACGAGCATCAAACAACAGCTCGCTCCGACAGGGTCACACCAGAGGCAAGAAGCAGTCTTCAACACTAGTTTTTCCACACCCCCTGGCCAGAAGTAAACCTGAACACTGACAGCACGAGGTATCCCCTAACCCAGGGCACAGAAGGTATGAGACACAAGAGAGCAGAACAAGCAGCAGCGACGAGTCCGGAACGTGCACAGACCGTGTACCTCTGGAATTTCATTGCCCCTCCATTGCAAGCAGCTGATCCCAGCCATCCCATCCCTTCTCCAAACACCTCAACTGTGAGAGTGGTCACCCTCCTGGGATATGTACAGCACATCCCTTTTGTCTAGTGCTTGTTTCACACCAGGTCACCGAGAGCCCAAGCTCTTGCGGCTTTC